AAGGGTAAGTTGTTGTGTATTATTCTGCCTTTCTTCATGACTTTTTACATTTGATATATGTTTCTGACTTTTACAATGGTTCTCTACAACAGATTTATGCTTCCACTCCACTGAAACATTACAGTAGTTGCATAAGAAAATATTATCATCAACACGAAAAACTTCTTCATACTCTCTACATGTAGTGTAAATTGAAACGGTTTTTCTTTTTTTCAACATTGTTAAAAAAAAGATAATCAAAAATTAATTGATAATCAGAGCTAAACTTTATATATTTACTGCAGATTATGTGATCTGATATAGAAAGATCCGAATTATGTAATTTTATGATGTGATGACTTTAAATTATGTATTATCACATAAATTATATGTTTAATGTGAAATTATGTGATCAAATAAAATCATCGTCCCTGTATTGACGTTACTATAACTTTTTTTGTTTTAACCATTTGATAATGAGTTAATGTCATCATTCGATAATTTATTAATTTACTTTAAACTATTCGCAAATTTTGAGTAAATGCATCAACTTTTATTGTAGATGTACTACTAGAATACTTACAATTTATAATACTATGAATACATTTCCTAAAAATTAAATTACTTTATATTCATGTTTTTCTTTAATAACTCCATACCATATATTATTTTTCGACCTTCTCGACCTTCTCAACAATAACTGCTCCAACAATTTAAAAAAAGCCTTTGCAACCTCTTGAATTAAAACAAACTGAAAACAGGCAAAAAAAAAAGTAATTTATTAGTATAAATAATAAATTTTATCAATTTTTTTTTTTTTTTTGAGATTCACTCGAGAAAAAAAAAATTTATATAATTCAAATCAATAAATAATATATAAAATGTTGATTAATTTGTAAAGGGGAGCAAATTGAAAGACACGTGATTGAAGGCTGTTAACTTTTTTAAAATTTATTATTTTTAAATAAATATTTAAAAGATCGTATTAAGGTGATAATTATTATTGTTTTAATATTTGATAACTATAATTCACCTGTAGTTATTAAGGACTTTCTCGTGATTTACATTTGTTTGCCTATCAGTAAACTTTAATTTAAATAATATTCTACAACGATCCGACATTCCTACGACTTCAAATACATTAAATACTTGGGTTATGAGAAGTAACACATGTGACTACAAAAGAGACGTTATGTAAATAAATTCTTTAGACAGCCACAATGTAGAATCATCTTTTTTTATTAAGAAATAATTGTTTAAATTGCCCTTTATTTTCAAATGAAATCATTTTACGCAATTAGAATCTATTTGATTTTGGAATAAATAAAATAAAAAATGGGTTATAATGCAATGGTGTCAGAGACACTCTTGATCACACAAGCCATAAATAAGTTTATGATTCTGATTTACTACCTGATTTTTATCCCATATATGTAATCGCTATAACTTAGGCCGGAAAAATTAATTTTTAAATTCTCGTGACCCGGCCGTGTCCGTTTACAACAATTCATAGTAGAATAATCACGTGACTTTAGCTAATAAAAAACATTCACTGTATTATATAATAAATTTAGATATTATTTTCGTGACATTTTTTGTTACTCATTTCACTTATTTTTGTGTTACTAAAATATGAATACTTTTTTTCTCCATAATTCTGTATTTAATTCATTAACTACCACATTATTGAAAATTCGTCTATATTTATATAGAGTTTATATTGTAATTTCTTCCTACTCAAATACTGATGCAAAACACAATTTTGATCGGCATATCAGATTTTGTTTAAAAAAAGTGGCGGTTAGATTTACATACATTAAAAATTTTTATCTTTATTTGTGTAATACAAGATGGGATCCATATTAAATACCGAAACACGAAATCCTGAAGCCGAACATCTTATTTTCGAATTTACTATTTTCCAAATAGTACCCGAAATGACGAAAACCCTATTGAGACCAAACCCGTAGAAGATATATTTGCATAATACAATAAATAAACAAAATAAATATAAAAATATTTTATATATGAAAAAAATAAACCGGGTTGACCAACCATTTCAATTTTAAAATTTTAATGTCACGAGAATCTAAAAATTAATTTTGCCCGGCCTTATCAAGGATTAAATAATATATAAGTGGAATCGACACATTTGAAAGTAATGCGTAAGCTTACAATTTATATCAATGGTTTAAAGGTCAGTTTTGACAGTTTTTAGAGATGTCAATAAAAATTTAAGAACAAATTAATATTTAATAAATTTAACAAAATAAGATCCCTGTGTAAATAAAATCATTACGTTTGAAGACATTTGAAGGTGTTTTATATAATAGAAATTTTTTTGAAGATTAAACTTGGAATAATATTGATACATTGCATCGCGTAATTCTTGGTTAATTATACTTAACTTTTTATTTAAAATCAAGTGCTGCGCCAGAAAATATCGAGACGCAGTAATTAGAACTTTGCCGAACTAGTCCATGGCACCGACAAAATTTCGCTACCATGTGACTTACAATTATTTATCACGCCGTCACATTTCATTTTTTTTTAGGGACGGTGAATTTTTTAGGCTTGAAACATATTTGTCACCAGCTATACGTCACACGCTTTAGATTTAAAGTTAGGCAGGCCAAATATCAGTTGATCGCGAAATTTTTGTTGGTGCCTCCGGGAATTAACTTGGTAAATACTATTGGAATGAATTGGGCTAAGTTACATCATAATGAGTTGATTTTTACATCTTCACTTTAGTTGTTATCAATGCTGAAGGCTTAGCCCATATTCGACCGGTTATCATCTAGAATTGCTTAGCGAGGCTTTGAAAGCTAAGCATTTATTTACATTGGAGACTGTGTTTTTATATAAGTATATACTATTTTTCACAAAACCTTTTTTTCCGAACGGAACAATATTAATTTACTCACAAGAATATTATGATTTATTATATTTTTACTTCTAACTCCTATTTATTTTATAAGCGTTAATTTTATATTACTAAGTAACAAAACGTGAAATTTGTTATCTCGAGCCATGATGCATTATTTTTTTAAAAAAAGGGTTATGGAATTAAATTCATATAGAGCATAGGATATAAAAGACTTACAAGAAAATTATGATTGATTATTTTTTACTTCTCTTACACCTATTTTTTTATAAGCATGCTTTTTATATTACTCAGTAACAAAGTGTGAAATTTGTTATCTCGAGCCATGATGCATTATTTTTTTAAGAAAAGGGTTAAGCAGTAAAAATTATATTTTAATATGAAATTAAATTATACAAAGCATAGGATATAAAAAACAAATTGACATCTGAGATACAACATATATATTTTTTAACAGAAAATGCAAAATAAAGATTAAAAATACTATTTTATGAATTAGAATGCTAATTATATTATTATCTATAATATTTGTTAAAAGTTTGGCATTATAATATATTATTTAATAAATTTTTTAAATTTTTTTATTATATTTTTTAATAAATAAGATAATCCTTTATTACAAAAAAAAATTCAAATAATATAAACTAATAATTAATAAATAAAAAGATTTGTTAATTATTGATTATATTAAATATGTAAAGACATATCAATATACAAAAAGATTGTAAAAATAGTAAAAGCTTTTTTTAAAAATCAATAAATCAATACTTAAATTAAAGATAATTTTTACAATTACTAAAAAATGATATAATTATATTACAATTAAGTTGCAATTCAAATAAATTTAAAATGTTATAAAAATTATCTTTAACTTAAAAAATTGGTATAAAAAGAATATTTTTTTTAACTGAGAATCAAATATTAAACTAAGATTTTTAAAAAAACTAAAGCATTTTAAAATTCCATATGTTTTATAATAATTTATTTTTTATAATTTTTTAAAAAATTAATATATATGGAATTATTAAGGAATTTAAAATAACGTATAAATTTTTGTAAATAAAAAATAACAAAAATAACAATATTATACATTTAATTAAAATTTTTTTAATGCTTAAATTTTGTAAGATAATATATTCTCCTTAAATTCTTCATCAAACTTAATAAAGTAAATATAACTGATAAAAACTTATTGCATTATATTATCAATAAAATCAGTATTTTTTAGCCAACCAAATATTTTAAGTAAACTGGTTTAAACTGTATTTTACTCAGCCAAATTTTCAGCTGCAAGTTAAACCTCATGTAAAAAATCAGTGATTAATGCATTATTAGTGACATAATTGACGAATGGTAATCTTAATGATCACGATTCTCAACTTTCTACCTTTCTCTGATTTCTCAGATTTCACTAATTTCTTAGCGATCTCTAATTTCACACATTTCTCTAATATATTTAATTTCTTTATTTATTATATTTCTTATATTTCTTTACTATCTTAAATAACTATTTCATATTGATGTATTTTATATAATTATCTTGTATTTCTACCTCAATAAATGGTAGAATCATTACTAATTCTTTAATAAATAAATTACATTTATCTCTAAAAACTTATTTTTGCTTGTTAAATAAATTCATTCTTCTTTAAATCTATATCATTAAAGATGACCTGATCCTTTAATTTAATTATTCATATTTATTTTTTCCATAGTTTAGATGTACTTAAACTCTCTACTAACAAATAATCTTTGTTAACTTAACGATAAACAGTTTATGCTTAACAGTGTTAATCCTACACTTAACCATCAAATTAGGGTAACGTTAACATGATAACAGGAAGTAACATGTATATTAATCTAAGATTACTATAAAATAAGTCCTATCATGATCAACCTTTAAGTTTATCTCTTAGTAATTATTATAACATGAGTTTTAACTTTATAACTTTATAACTTTATAACTAAGATAAATACTTTTAGACTTGTTGAAGGGATTTATGTAGATTATTGTATAAAAAGAAATTTCTTTTATTGTATATTTGTATACTCAGAGATCCTTAACTCTTAGATTCTAAGACTTAAACTCACTCACTTGAGTTATTCTTTTACAAGAGCAACTTTCTATCCTATTTATACAAAATTACAATTATAAGAAAATTATAACTAACGCTAATTTATAAATAATAGTTAATTTAAATAATAAAGATAAAATACATAATAATTATATAAAAGATAAAAATAATAAATAAGATAATAAATATAAATAAGTTGAAGAAGTTGACTATATTAAAAATGTTGTAAATGTTGATAAAGTTAATTATGCTAATTAATAGTGCAGTAACTTTGATGAGATCTAGTATTAACAGCATTGATTTAATTATTTAATTTCTATAATTTAAAATTAAATTGTAAAATTGTGAAAATTGTAAAAACTATGAAAATTAGAAGTTACATATTAATAATTAGACTTCAAATTTTCTTTTGAAAGCAATTATATATTTTAAAAAATAAAATTATGAAATAATTTAAAAGTCTCAAATATGATTATTTTTGATCTATTAATTAAAATTCATAAAAGTAAAATTAATCATATAAGAATTCTCATTATAAACTTGTATATTGTAATCATGTAAGAATTCTCAAACTTTTTTATTATATCAAAAAAATTTAAAGCTTTATTTCTTTTTATAGAAAGTTATCAATTTATTATTTAATTTCTTCTATTTTAAGTATATAAATATTACTATTATTTTGATTGTATTATCTTTTAATCAATTGTTTGAATAATATTTATGAAAATATTTTGTGTTATCCAATTTTATCTAAAAAAAGATTAAACTCATATTTTTTAAAAAAAAAACTTTAAGTGAGTTTTTTAAAAAACACATTTTTATTTTTTTAAAAAAAAATAAAAAATAGATAAAAATCCGACTGATAAATGACGAGATAAACAATAAAAAAGACTTTTAGAATTACATGAATTATCAGCAAAATGGATTTTTGAACTTTATAAACATACAACAAAATTATTATTATCAACACACTTTTATAATTATTTTCTCTATCGTAATCATCATCATTATCATCAATAAAAATTACTCTTCAATCAAAACATTCATCTTCAGTTTTATTATCATCTCAGTTAGTATATATTTTTTATATTTAAATAAAATAATAAGTAATTTTTTTATTAATATATTAGTATAAAAGAAAAAAAATTTATATTATTAACACTATTACTACTATCACCATCATTATCATCATTATCAATATCATCATCATTATCAACAATAACAATAATAACACAAATAATACCAATACCACTAACATCACCAATATCATCATCATTATTATCATTATAAATAATATAATATTTATGTTTTATATAATAATTTTAATTGTTTTTAATTATTTTCTAATATAATTATATAGTAAATTATCAAAACAACTATAATAACATTAACAATAGCAAACCCACTTTATAAGAATATGTGTTATTTTTATAATTGATTAGACTATTGAATGCATTACTATCCAGATATTCTAATTGATTATCATAATTATTGTTTTAAATGCTGAGTTACTAGTAATTATATGACAAAAGACTATACATCACCACAAAATAAAGCTCTATTAAAGTAAGTAAAATATTAATAATAAAAATAAAAATAATTTATTTATAAATATTAAATATTTTTTTTATTATAGTTAAAGTTATAAACATATAACTATAATACCAATACTAACAAAACTAATATTAATACTAATGCAAATATTAATACTAATGCTAATATCAGTACCAACGTTAATACCAATACTAACACTAATATCAATATCAATGTCAATCCTAATATCAATGTTAATACCAATGCCAATACTAATGCTAATATCAATACTAATATTAATGTCAATACCAATACCAACAGCAATACCAATGCTAATACCAATATCAATATCAATACCAATACCAATACTAATACCAATACTAATACCAATTCTAATGCCAATATTAATGCTAATGTCAATACTAACATCAATGTCAATGCTAACAGCAATACTAATGCTAACACAAATATCAATACCAATACCAATACCAATATCAATATCAATACCAACAGCAATACTAAGCTAACATCAATACCAAAACCTATACCAATAACATTTATGATAATATTAATACTTATGTCAATATCTAAAAAAATTTTTTTATTTTTATTTTTTTTTCTTATTGCAAAAAAATCTTTTTTGATTTGGAAGTCAAAAAAAAAATTTTTTTGATTTTATTTTTTTGATTAGATGAGATCAAAAAAAATTTTTTTATTAAAAAATATATATATATTTTTTTTTAAATAAATAAAATAAATAAATATATATTTTTACTTTTAATAAAAATTAATATTATTATCTCATAAATTTATTTTACATCTTATAAAATTATTAATATTAATAAGTTAAAAAATCCTACATACATATCTATCAATACTAATGACTTCAAAAAATTAATAACTACTAAAATGTGTAAAATATATTTGTTCATAATATGATAATTATTTTTTTTAAATGAAATTGTGTTACAAATATATAAACTATTTTGTATTACAAATAGAATTTTTTCCTTTTTTAATAATGATAATAATTACTATTAGAAATCTTGATAAATTTTTTTTTTTATTTAATAATAAGTATTATCATTAAACAAATCAACAAACAATTTATAACATAATGTTTTATAATTTATTTTTTATTTTTAAGTTAATATTTGTTTACTATTATTTTTAAAAAATAGTATTCAGGTTATACGATAAGGATGTCTTACCAATTCACAGCCTAAAAGAATGTGTTTCCAGCTGATAGTTGATATAAA